GGCGGGCGGAGAGGAGGCAGGGAGGAGGCTCAGGGCCGGACCTAAGGCGCGGCTTGCGTGGTTGCCAAATGTATTCCTCTTTGACTCATCACTAGAGCTACACATGCTGACGATATATACTGTACACATTTTGTATGACATCAAACATGAAAAAAAGGAAATTTAACACTCTTCAGTTGAACTTTTAAATATAATTTGCAATAACATATTTAGGTAGTTCTTGTTATCATAACATACAGAAAGTAATATGAACCGAAATAGATTCGGAGTATTAAAACAATATTACATCCTTTTACATGCCATAGACATGCAAAATAATGTTTCCTGAGCTAAGAAACCCGTAATAAAATCAGTGTTTCCTTGTTATTAAAGGCGTATATAAACTACAAATCTCAAATAAGTGATGGCGAATAGCAATGGTCCCACTGCCATGTTCAGCACCAAGTAATCACCATGAGGGCACCAGCTGATCACACACCTGAATTCCATTACAGCAGTCGATAAAGGAAAGCGGGAGAGCACACGGGGCTAACTTTTCCTCCATAGCATAGATATGCATAGCCCTACAAAGGGGGGGGGGAGTTTCTCGGCCGGTCGAGACGCAAGGCTGAATCCGGACTCTCGAAATAGAAATAGAGACAGATATAGATATAGAGATAATATAGATAATGATAGATAGATTGAGAGGTAGAATGATTGAGAGATAGATAGATAGATATATGAATAGATAGACAGATAGCGAGAGAGAGAGAGAAGACAGACAGAGAGAGAAAGACAGAGCCCACTTTCTTTACCATCAACAGATATGCAAAAGCCTAAGCAAGGACGCCGTGTGGATCACCATCATGAGGGATCCCTCGACCTCCTTCCAGTCTATGTTCTCCTACTATAACCTGGAGGATGAATTCCACACGCCCCTCCTCCGCCTCTTGGATTACCCTCGCGCCCAGATGAATGCATTCCCGCGCTACTACGGCCGCGTCGGGAGGAATCAGGTATGGGTTCTGCGACCGTATTTTGTTTCGTCTGGTTTATAGCTGATTTACGTCGACTGTTTCGCGTCTTCCGAGTTATATGTTTGTCATTGGGCCTAGATTTGATATATTTTTGTTTGATATGATGGGGGTTTGTTATATTTTTAACTAATTTCAATGGGTTTGTGTGATTGTTTGTGACTAAGGCCCTGTTCAGACGAGCGATTTTAGTGGCCCGACTGCTAGAAGCGCGACTATTGAGTGAATGTTCACACACGGCGTTTGTATTGGCCCGACTCGTCTCTCGTCCACTATTGTATTTTCTTTTCTCTCTTTCTTCGGTCGCTGATCTTTTACATTACAGCTGGTAATGGGTGCTAAAGAGGTGGCATGTGCATGGGTTTTATATTGTCGTTTGCAGCGCCGGAAGAGGAGACAGACGTTATTGTGTTCACCCTATCTGAAATGACAGACTTACCCATGGAATATTCTTCACATTGT